ATGTTGTTCAGGTACAAATTCCTTTTGATGAATGTGATCATTATGTATATCTAATGATGTACCAATAAAAAAATTTAAAAAGAAACATAAAATGTTTTTCTCAATTCTTGAGTAGCTTTCTTTAAATGGCTGCTCCTATAAGCTAGCACTGGGACAAAATATTTCTGGAATGCCATCTCAAAACACACTGTCCACAAAAACTGGCATCATCATCAGCTACTTTAAATGTTCTAAACACTTTCAACCTGAATAGACCACCCTGCACCCTTTTGTCCATGTGTCACTTCAGTTTTAGCTTCCTTCGTAGTCTACACAGCCTGCACTCTGATCATAGGGGTTGATTGATCCAGTGGAGCCCAGTACATTTGCCTGTGTTTGTGTTTGGTGCTTTTCCCAGCTGGAAGGGTTGGGAGGCATTACTCCTCTCCAAAGATCAAATCTAATCTAGAATTATGGGTTCAGTGCAAACCCCACTTGATCCATAATCTCTTCCTGACCTCTTGCCTTTAGGTGACTTGTCCTCGCATTAAAGTCCTTCATTTGTACCATTTTTGGCAATGAAAGTATAGAGATGGCTCCATGTGTGAATTTGGGGCTTTATGATGGGGTGAAAGCCATCTATAATCAGGGACTTCAAATCTGATCATTCCTTGCCCTAGTGATGTGTGCCAGAAGGCTCCCAGTGCAGGGCATCAGCAGGGAGCCACAGCTCCCATTCATCCCTGGACTGTGAGGATAAACACTGCACAGTCTGTGCAGTGTTGTGCTGTCAGGGTGGTTTGGATATTGTGTTCTGTGTTGGGCCACAAAATGCCCATCTCTTTCAGCATAGTTTTCAGTGAACTGCATGAAACAGTCAATGCTCCTGCAGACTCATGTGTCCTGAGCAAGTGTAAAGGGGGTGAGGCCACCCTGTGACAGTGAGCTGTGCTAAATGCATTCTTGATTGTGATCTCTTCAATCTATGATGGGTTTATCAGGACAAGACTCTTCCCTAAGTGAGGAGTATCTGCACACTTTTTAACATTTCCTTCTTTTGTGTTTTCAAAGGTAATTCAAATCTTGCTTATGACTTCCCCATTGACATATTTATACCACCTTCCTTCAACTTTACTAAATGGCTAGCAAAGGCCGAGTCAGTCTTACTATTTTCCTAGCACTATACCTCAACTCACAGAAGGAACTTGGTAAATGTTTACTGATTTAATATGATAGTAAATTATAGCCTCGTATAGTAAAATTCTTGTTCCATTCAATGTCTATGCACATATACAAGCATACATAAAGAATTATTTTCTTAAAACTTTTCAATCAGAATATTTACATAAGATAAATATTGTGATTTGCTCTATAATAACATTTTTGGTAATTGAATTATGTAATATTAGATCTAAATCATAGCTGTTAAGATATCTTCTATTTTTAAATAATCTTTAAATTATTTACTTAGTGTAGTTTGCATAAAGATTGAATTACTCACCTCACAGGAACTTAAGGAGAAGCACAGAAATAACAAAACAACGTGAACACGCTTCATGTTGGGGGTGTTACGAGTGTGTGTCTCTGCAGAAGACTGTCTATCCCAGGAAGTCTTTTGAAATTTAATTTTTAACCTCTGAAAAAATATTTAAAAAGAGCAAGCTTCCCACACAGCTTTGTACTTTTGAACTCCTAAAGAATTTGGCTAAAATCCAGAGTTTTACGCAATTTAAACAAAACAGACTTTCCCAGAAAATAGATGAGAGAGGCAACCAATGAGAAGGGTTTCCTCTGGAAGAGGAGGAGCTCCCCATTGTGTTAATGGAACAGTGCCTCAATTCTGTTTTCCAGGGGAGACACAGAGTACACTTGAGGCAAATTCCTTGTTTTTTGGTGAAATGAAATTATATTTTGCTCCTTAAGTTTGAAGACTAGGAGATGGTAAGAATAAAGGTATGTCATATTGAAAATGCTACTAAATATATGGAAAATTCATTACTTTTACTGTAATAATATTTTAAAAATTTAATGCACCATATTTTTATCACACTGTGGAGTATACAGTCATTTTATTGTTAAAAATATCATACTTGTGGACAACTAATATATATATATATATGCATGCTATTGCAAATAATAATATTACTAACTGAATCAGAAATATTGCTTTGAACTACAATTTTTTTCCCAAAATATGTACCTTCAGCTTTGTCCACTGATAAGGTCTGAAAGTCATAAGAATCTAGAGGCAATTGTCTTTTCTACAAAACATTTTAAAAATGAAAAAGCTCCTTGGAGGAAGGGCTGATCTCACATCTGGGGCAGGAAGTATACCCAGCAAAGTAGGAGAGTTAGACAGAGACATTTGTGTCACAAAGCAAGGAAGCTATTAGAGACTGGTCAGTGATACTAAAACAGGACCCAGTTTGAATAGGCTCTCTTAAGCCAAAGGTTGAGAATTTTATGCATTAAAAAGAAAAATTTTTATGCATCAAAATAAAAATATTTTCTGAAGTGAAGAACTTTTCAGTTACTAATTGCAGAAGTCGTGATAAACTGAGCAAATCCCCACTGGCAGCACCTAATGGGCTCAGAGGTATAGGTAATAATCATTGGTAGCTGCTAAAACCATTAGGCAAGAAACTGGCAGGGAACTTTCTAACAGAGGGATCAGGCCTATCAGTCAAAAGAAAGACACACATGATGTCTAGCCTCATAGATGTGCAACGTTTCCTTCTTCATGGAAAAGCCTTAAGAAGGCTTTAGAAAGAATTAGGGGGAAAAATGCATCAGAATATAATCAAGCCTTCAGATCTTACTACCAGTTTACAGGGAATCCAGAGGGTGAGAGAACATGATTTATGTCACTATGAGGCTACAGTCATGGAGAAAATGGGAAATGACACAAGAGTCAGTTTCTTCAAGAAATACACATTGTAAAAAATAGGGAGAGAAGGATTGAGCATGTAGCCTAATGGTAGAGTGCTTGCTTAGCATGTGCAAGGTGCAAAGTCATGGGTTACTCAGCACCCCCCAACACATGCAGCAGAAAGAAAATTGATATAGATTAAAAGAGACTTCAGATACATGTGAATATAATACAATGTAGGTATAGACATTGACCTTGTTTCGATCTGCATTTGGTTGATTGAACCATTAAAGATTTAAAACTTTTATTTTAAAAATTAAAAAACTGACAAAATAACAATGAAGACAAAATCAAAACAACATAGAAACAACAAAAATGATACATGACCTCAAAACAAAGTGATAGAAATTTACAAGGGTTGCTATGTTTGAAAAAAAATTTTTTGAAATAACTTGTGGATAATCTATATTGACTGGATGTTACCTGATGCTAAAACATTATTACTTTCATTAGGTAATAGTATTATGTTTATATTTTAAAATATCCTGTTAGGGATTTATGGATAAAGTGCTCTCAGTGCTTGTTATAAAATACTGTAAATAAGCAAATAATAAAGATGAGATTGATAAAGTAAGATTTGCAAAAAGTTGGTTGAAGCTGGATGATGCACAGAGACAGGTGCACTGATATATTTTCTGAACTTTTGTTAATTTTGAAAATTTCATATAAAAACCAAAAACCAAGTTACATTTACATTGTTTCTAATTTATTCTTTTATTTTTTATTAGCACATGCCTGCGGTACATACTGATTACATTCATCGTGGGGAGTTGGTCCAGGTCCATGACACATCTTAACTCTTGTTATGTCCCCTTTTTCCCTCCTCCCAACCTTGTTGTTTCCAATTTAATGGCATCCTGCTGAAGTTCTAAAATTTTGTTCTAATACAAAAATTTCCAACTCATTTCCTAGCAGGTTCTCCATCATTCACAGTATTGTCTTTTCAAGTATGTTAGTTAGATTTCCTAAGTTTTCAGTAACATAAGCAAATGCACGTCTTCTTAGAACTTGGATCTCGTTAGCCTACACGTTCGTGGCATGCTCAAAAAAATACAGTGACTGCTGCTGGCGAGTGCCATCCAGTGGAAAGGCAGGGATCTTCCATATGAGAAGCTGCATGTTGAACTTTATTTAACAGTGTAACAAATTTCAACTTGTTCAGTGAATTGCCTGGTTGTGAGCTATGGTTGAAAGGAAGTGTGTTTTAAATCATGCATCATAAAGGATGCATTAACATAACATTTTGTAAGTTTCATTGGAATTGCCCCATTGTGCTGCTTCAAATTCCAGATTTTTAAGAAATATCATTACAGGATATGAAATTTTGGCCTTGATTATGACCCTGAGATCAAAGTTCAGAGTTCTCAATGGTAATCAGTGACGCTGACGTGTTTTTGACTTTGATAGAATTGTGCTAGTTGAGTTTGTACCAAGGAATACTATGGTGAATTCTGAACAATATTAGAGCATTTAAGAAACGAAGTGCATAGAAAATGGCCTGTAAAATGGGTAAACTGTTTCACCCTCCATCATGACAACACTGTGTGTCACACAGTGCTTCTGGTTCAGCAATTTCTGTCAAATAAAAACATTTTGGTGTGTCCTTACCCACCTTATTCACTGGGTCTAGCACCATATGACTTCTGATTCTTCCCCATAGTCAAACTCAGCATGAAGGGTCAATGGTTTGAACTGATTTAGGACATCAAGGCATCCTTGAAGTGCAACCAAAGACCCTTAGGAAAGAGGACTTCCAGAACTACTTCAAAAAGTGGCAAGAGCAGTGAGATAAATGTGTTCAAAGTGATTAGGGGTATTTTGAGAGAGATTAATGACAATGTGTTTAAAAAACTAACATTCACTACATTTTTATTAGATCATGTGCATTCTCTTTTTTTTCTATCTCTTTTATAATCTCTTTGGCCATCAGTCATTTGTTGACAAGTAGGATCTTAGGGGATGGGCAGAAATTCAAAGAACAGAGATGAGTTTGGTCTAGTTCAATAAATACTTATTGGGCATCAATTTTATGCCAGACACAGTGGTAGGTACTTATAATACCAAACAAATCAGACATAGTGCCCACCCTTCAGGAGCTTACAGTCTAGTGTGGGTTTCTACAGATACCATTAGGGCAGCTAAGAGGGGTTACTAGGACTTTCAGAAAATATTTTTATTTTACATCTTTTAGTTTTCTTCTTCATAAGATGCCGGTACTTACAGAGATAAACAGTGACCATGAAGCTCTGTTAGCAATTTTGCTAGAGGCTGTTTATTTATATGACAATTTCCTGTGAAACTATGTACACTGATCGCCAGTTACGTGACATGGACAGCAGAGGCTGTGGACAGTTGGTGAGTGCTGAACTGTCATGGGAGGAATGACAGGTGGATGATACCAGCATCTTCCTCTTGAATTACGTGTCCTGGCTTCCCCTGGCCTCCTCTGACCTCCAGCTAAGTGAGTGTACACGAGCTCTCTTGGTGTAACAGGAAATCAAGGGGTATATTTTAATGCTAGGGAAGCAACTCGCACGTGCTGTGACTCACAAGCATCCCTGTTACTTTGATAATATTGTAAACATTGCACAACACGGAGTTTGTGGGTTAAAAATGAATTGCAGTTTGAACATTTCAGTTTTCTTTTGTGGTTTCCATTCAGTTTGCCTTTTTTATACTGAGGAAGGATTTAAAATGTCACACAGATAATTGAAATGAGCTTACAAAATTATTCAGCCCAGGCAAATATGAGACTTGATATGTAGTCAGTTACCTAGGTCACTCTGACCTAATGCAGACTCCTTATTACTATCAATGTAACAAATAACCTCAGTAAAAGCCTTTTTCTTCTTATCCCAGTTCTTGCCTGGAATGCGTAAATGATCAAGCAACAATCAACAACCTGTGCTGTTCTCTTCCTCAACGCGACTGTAACAACCACTTTCCCATAACCTCCTTCTTTGCTCTTTATCGTAAGAGCTCAGACCCCTCAGACACCACTTGGGGGAGCACTGATTCTAGTGGTTAGGTTCATTCCCCTTGGTGGTTATCCTGATAATAACCACAGGTGGTTATTATCACCTGTGTTTTATGAACATGACCAGCAGTTCATTGTGGTGAATTTTGAAGGTGAAGTGGGAGTTGGAAGAGAACTCTATGCCTCAGTAACTGTAATAAAGAATGAATGCTGAGGAAGAATCCCAAATTATGGATGCAGGCTCCAGAAAATTGAAAAAGCACATAACTACAAATCATAGTGAAGGAGGAGGTGCTTTTGAACAGCTTTGGGAACCCAGAATAAATTACTTTTTAAGTTACCTTCAATAAAAAGGTCCAGAGAGCAAGTTATTTAGTAATAGAACTTTTTGACCAGAAAAGGAAAAAAGCCTCACAGCTATTAGAAATTTTATAATTCTAGTATGCAGGGTTATGAAGGGTGAAATGCCAGAATATGACGTAGTAGGAAAAAATAGAAAGGCTTCACTTTACCAGTGAGATACATTGGTGTGACTGATGACACATCACCTGAGAGCTGAATAGCACCAAATCCCCCCACAACTTCTTCTCCAGGTTGATGAGTCATCACACTTGAACAATGGCAGCATTTGTAAGATTTATAAACTATGATGAAATTCAAGAAAATGTTTCTGCAGTAAAATATTTCCCAAACAAGCAAAGGTAAAGATATATTTACTGTTGTCTTCACATTGGGATTAAAAGGTATATCTTGGAGTAACAGGGAAGGTGTCGATCTGTACCAGTGATGGTCCACCAGTGATGATTCCCTGATTGGTTTCATCCCTTGAGAAAAAAAATTCTAATGTGCTTATAACACATTGCTTTCTTCCCAGAGAAGTTCTGGTGTTGGATGCTTTTGGAGCTGATATGAAAGTTCTGGATATTATCAAAATGGCTAACCTTGTCAAATATAGGCCAGTTCACTCAAGAATTTTTTTATATAACCTGTGTAACTATCTTCTACCACATCCATAAATCTTATGGCTTAGTAGAGCACTTGCTTTTGGGAGAAGCAACTGTCATGTCATATAAACATTCAGGTGTCCCATAAAGAGGCCCACAGAATGAGAACCAAGGCCTCCTGCCTGTTGGCCTCAGGAGATCTCAGCGAGCCCAGTCAGTAAAGGATCCACCAGTCTTAGTCAAGACTTTAGATGACTGCACTCCTGGTTGATACCTATTTTTTTTTAGTACCAGAAATTGACCCAAGACTTTCACATCGAGCTCCCTCTTCCTTTAAACTTAGTCAGAGGGTCTTGCTAAGTCACTGAATTGCCAAGGCTGGGCTTGAACTTTCAATCCTCCCACCTCAGCTGCCCAGTATGCTGGGACTGCCATCTTGATGCAGCTTCTTGAGAGACTCTGAACCAGAACTGCCCAGCTAAACACTTTTGAGTTTCTGATATGCAGGAATTATGCCAGATAATGTTTGCTGTTTTCAGTCGCTAAGTGTTGGGATAATCTGCTACACAGGAAAAGAAATTTAACTCAGATTTTGGTTCTTAACAGGATGCTTGAGCAGAAAGATGAATTGTAGAAGCATTTTCCAGAAAACAGGCAGATTTTGCCCAATCCTTTGAAGATGGAGACTGGCTGGAGAAGTTAACCTACTCCCCAGTTTTCATCATATGAACAAGTGGAGGAAATATCTTTAAGGCCCTAAGGAAAATGTCTGGATTCAGAGCAATAAGATTCTCAAGTTTAAATAGAAATCGAGTCTTTGGAAAAAATCATATGGGAAAAAGGAATTTTGCAATGTTTCCATTACTGCTTACACTTGTGAGGAGGTCTTAAAATCTTACTGAAAACCACTCAGGAGAACTGCAGGAAAAAGTTGAATCGTATGTCCCCTCCTTGATGCAATTTATCGGGCTGGGTGAGGGGCCTTTCCTGGAGTCTCCTCAGCCTCAGTGCCTGACTTTAAGAGGAGGAAAAGCTCTGAGAGTTTATTACTGTGAACACCTGATAAAATGCACCAATTTGCCTTCTTGTAAGTCCTGGATTTCTGTGAAGACGTATTCTGCCACTCATCGGAAAAGGATAAACATTTTGCCCTATTTTTCAACTTGTTTGGGAATTAATAGCAGCGGTGGAAGCCACAGCAATTCAGTTGAAAATGAAATGTGTGTGCCAATTTCAAGCTCAATGCAGAGTTGAGTGAATGTACACAAAAGATAAATTATCCTAATTATTCCATATTAAATAAATAAATAATTTTACGCATATGTAGGTCTATAAAAGGAAATAAACATTCATGAAAATCAAACAGCAACGTTTACTAAATGTACAGTTGAAGCCCTTATTTGTATTGGAGTTGACATTCTTTGTGAGTTAATATTATTAGCCTACATAAAGTAGGCAAATAAATTGAACAAAAAAATAAAGAATAAAACAAGAGCTGGGCATGGTGGTGTATTCCTGTAGCCTAAGCTACTTGGAAGGATAGGGCAGGAGGATTTCAAGTTTGAAGTCAACCTGGGCAGCTTAGCAAAACCTTGCCTGAAAACAAAATTTTAAAAAAGAGCTGAGAATGTAGTTGAGTGGTAGAATTCTTACTTTGCATGTGTGAGGCCCTGGGTTCAATCCCCATGACCTCTCCCCACATACAAACAAATTCAGATTCACAGAAAAAATTATTTTCTATTCAAAAGTAGCACAACAATGTAAATGTACTTAATATCCTGACCTATACATTTAAAAACAAAGAAGATGGTAAATTTGATATTACTGGGAACTCTGCCATCGTTAAGAGCGTTGAGATGGGCTTAATGGTGCCTGCCTGTGAGGCAGAGGTGGGATGATCACTTGAGCTCACAAATTCAAGACCTGCTTGGGCAACACAGTGAAATCCTGTCTAAACTATTGACAATGGTATTAGGTCATTATATTGAAAACTTGCTCAACACGCTCGTGTGTGTGTGTGTGTGTGTGTGTGTGTGTGAAATTTTTATGCAGAGGCTCTGGTGACAGGACACTCATTTCAAGAGTGCCTCCTATCAAAAGATTAAAAAGGTTTGGACTAGTGCTTAGCGCTTCTCCAAGCAGAAGGAAGTGCTTTAAAAAATGGAGAAAGAGAAGCAATGCAATGACACTGGACTGATGGGACAGACGGATGGTGTGCAACATGAAGGAAATAAAATTACAGAGAAGGCTTAACAGAAGGAGAGATGTGACTTCAGACGGGATGCTAAGTGAAAGAAGGAGCTATCTGGGTCCTAAGGATGGGGATGGTAGAAAACTATTTCAGTAAATTCAGTACGCTATCAAGTGCAGTACAAAAAGGAGAAAGAAGTTAGGTCTGAAGTAACAAAGATGCTCAGAACACGAGATTTTAAGTTCACTCATTTTTGTACAGTTAAATTCTTGAAGATTATATTGTGTGATTTAGCTTAGGAACAAGATAAGGAAGTGTGGTAGGGACAAGAGGTCTGTAATTGGTTGGTGATGGTCCGAAGTTACTTGGGAAGAAATAGAAATTGCTAATTTGGGATAAAAGAAATTGCACCCAAAGCTGAGGTAGGTATGGTGATAAAAATGATAGGAAAGTGCTCAAAAGTTCGAGTTCAAAGATTAGGAACTAAAGTACAATGCTACCAAGAAGACAAACAGAGAGCTGGAAAGGTTCCAAGAGAGGGGGGCAAAAAAGGACTGAGGATTGTAAGGATCCAAAGTTCAAGTTTGCCTTTGTAACTAGCTGGGTAAGTAACTTCCCTTTCCAAATGTCGGTTAGACATGCTAAAAGTGGTTAGGTAACAGGTGATCTTCAAATTTTTTTTATCAGTACATATTTGCCATACATAAGGATCATACTCATCATAGGGAATTTGTACCTGTAAATAATACGTCCAAATTCTTTTTTTTCCCATTTTCTTCCCCTCCCTTCAACTCTTCTCCCTCTTCTGCAGGTACCAGGTGATCTTGAAGGTCTCATATACAAGTTCCGTGGTTTTATCAGACTGAGTTGGAGATAAGTAGGGCACCAAGTAAAGACCGAAACACTGAACTTAGTACTACTGTAAATGACAATGCAAAATAGACGGCCAATTATGAAAAATTATACCCCTGTATTGTGTACAGAATTTAAGGTAGATTTATCGAGTTTGAATTAAAATGTATTTATCAAATTTGTTTCATATAGAGATGTTAGGAGATCCTTCAGGAACCTTACACTTTAGACAACATATGGGAATTTCTATTTTCCTATAAAGTTTACAGAAGTCTTTCGAAATCCCATTTACAATGGCTATCTTCTCTCAAAGAGGCGGTACTTTGGATATATCTCAAGGTAGGTTCTCAGAGCATTCGGGTATGAAAGAGGTTAACGGAACTTAATAAATGAAGGTCACTACCCTTACTAGAAGTTGTGGCTGTGGGACAAGTTGATGTCAGATATCCAAGGATCAAGCAGGGGAAGGAGCGCCCAGTAGACTGATCCACTGGTTGAACACAGTGCTTGAAAGAATAAACTATCTGGCACAAAAGATTAAAATGCGGCTTGGCTTTCTATCAGATAACACCATTTCTTTCAATACACACATAAATGCATTGTTCTTTTTCCCCTTAACTAACATGACTACAGGACAAACAGGTACATTTTAGACCACAAGAGCGTGTTGTTCAAAAGATAGGCAAAAAACTGGAAAGAGCGCAGAAACTCCCTTGGCGAGCTGCGAGACCCTGTTGGCAGAGCGCGGCTGGAGAGGCCTCACAGATGTGGCCACAGTCTTTGCTGGCGACGAACTCCTGAGCGAGGCTGAGGACCATTTCGCAGCCTGGAAGCGAGAAGGCCCCGTCAGTGGTCATCTAGAACAAGAGTCACCCCGGACCAATGAACAGCATGCCCAATTCTTGGAAGAGGAATCGCGTCCCTGACGCCTGTTATCTCCAGGGGCAACACTACGGCAATACTTCCGTAAACGTCATATGTAAGGGACGCTAAACGTCACTTCCTGTACTCCTTGGCGAAGTCGATCTTACAGTTGTAAACTGGTGAAGTTAGTATTGCGTCTTTTCCGGAACTTAAGGCTACTCAGGAAGGCGCCCCTGTCGCTGCATCCGCCAGTGACTAGTTCTTCTGGCAAACCAGTTATTCGAGTTTGTAGTCTTTTTGCAAAGCCTGTGTCCCCGTACGGTGGCCGACGAGGTCAGTGTGTGGCGGAAGTGTCCCGCGAGTGGGTGTGAGCGCCAGGCCGGGCCGAGGTGCACGTGGCTCTGGTGAGTGACCGCGGAAGCCGGAGGATCTGAGGATGCTGGGCGCGGGGCTCCGCTGCGGGAAGGAGGGGATGCTACGCAAAGGCCGGGCTGCCTGCCGGGGCGGCGAGGCCAGGTGGCGGGGCCCTGGGGAGGTCGCGCTTCTTCCCTGGGCTGCGGTCCCGCGGGTGGGCGAGGTGGCAAGCGCGCTGTTATCACCGACCTCTCGTAGAGTGTGCGGAGCAAAGCCCGGAGATGTCGTTCCGAGGCGGAGGTCGTGGAGGCTTTCATCGGGGCGGCGGTTTCAACCGTGGCGGCGGCGGCGGCAGCAACCATTTCCGCGGTGGCGGCGGCGGCAGTTTCCGAGGCGGCGGCAGAGGAGGGTTTGGGCGAGGGGGTGGCCGCGGAGGCTTCAACAAGGGCCAGGACCAAGGACCTCCGGAGCAAGTAGTGGGTACGTCGTCTGCAGAGCTCTGCCTGCGCCGAGAGCCGGGTTGGGCTGTGTTCTCGGCGGTTAGGTGCTGGAGGAGCTCGCAGGCTGTCTGGAGCGTGCTCCCCGCCGACCTGCGGTCGTACTGTAGCATAGGAGGAGATCGAGAAAGCTGGAGGATACTGAAAACGCATAATGGAGGTGGCACTTGAGATTGAGCGGGAAGGGTGAGAGTGGCTAGGCAACTTTGGGTGCTTATTCCCATTTTAACAGGTGAGAAAACATTCAGCGTGGAGGTTTTCTGTCAGGGTCGTAAGTGAAGACGAAGAGTGGAGGGGTCGGTATGCAGGAGGGCCGAAAGGGGGCAGTAGCTCAAGTCAAAGGCCCCAGCCAGTGAGCAGTGTGCTAGGCTTTTACACCTGAGACAGCAAAGTTTAGATAGGAGGGAAATGTAAAAGGAAACGAGAATCTGCCTAATATTGGGAATAAAGAGTTCTAGGTTTTGAACTTAAGTGATAGAGATGGAGAGTTAGTTTTGCAGGCATGCATTGAGTGTTTTAGTTTGGGGTGGTAGAAATAAAAGTACTTAGTTTGGGGATTTTGGACTTCCCTGAAAGAGATTAAAGGATCATTTGTAAAGAGAGTAGGGACTGGTTCTAAGAAAGGAGGAGGAAAAGACCAGTACAAAGGTGATTCACGTTAGTGGTTGGAGAAAAGAAAGAATTAAATGTGTATAAGGAAATTGTAATTATCATAATAAAATAACTGTCACAGGTTGGATGGCCTTAGCGTAGCACGTGTTATTCCACTTAATCACGTGTTAGGTAGATATTACTTACATGTTATTATATTCGTAAATGTAGATACAGCTCACGTATTATTAAGAACACTAAAGCAGAGAGAGTGAGTACCTTTCCTTAGGTTGAGTAGCTGTTCACCTGATGGCTCAGGAAGTCCACACTACTGGTATCTATAGTTTTCTATTGCGGAGAACAGATACAGTAGAAGCCCAAGGAGGCTAAGAAAAAAGCTTCCAGGGAGGTTGGTTAATATCACCGGAAGTAATTGCGTGTTTTAATATTTTCTTGTCCTGTTTCAGTATTAGGAGAGTTCCTGCATCCCTGTGAAGATGACATAGTTTGTAAATGTACCACAGATGAAAATAAGGTGCCTTATTTCAATGCTCCTGTTTACTTAGAAAACAAAGAACAAATAGGAAAAGTGGATGAAATATTTGGACAACTTAGAGATTTTGTATCCTTTATAATTGTTTCCCCCCCACACACGTGGCAATTAAGTATGAATTAAAGTTTTTGCCTTACTAAATAAGACAGTGTTGCTACAGATTGAATCATAAGGAGAATCAAGAGAGGAGAATGTATTCACCCAGACTACTGAAATGATAAGCCTTTCTTTTGGGAAAGATCTAGAAATCATGGCTATTTGCATAAGTGCCATAGGATTGAGTTGGTTGCTTCAGATAGGATGGTGCCACCAGAATAGTATGGAAGAGTTGGAAAAGTTGGATTTTTTGTTTTGTTCTGTTTTTTGAAGAACATATTTCTTCCTGGATACAGGTGTTACCTTTCCTATATATTCCTATTCTAACCTTGTTGTTTCAGAACTTACATATGAATTCAGGAGGTTTAATTTCTTTTAATTTCTTAATTTTTTATTTGTTCCTTATCAAAATCAATAGTATTTTTCAGTTAAATTGTCAGAAAACCTGAAGGCATCCTCCTTTAAAAAACTACAGAAGGTGAGTAAAGCTTGCGATACTTAGGGTCTTGGATGTTACAAGGCAATGGCATACATTAGGGCAGTCCTGTTTGGGGTACCTGAGCCCCCAGTATTTCGTTAGTGAAACCTCCCTGCCTCCCAATACTGGGCAGGACCCCACTGTCTTCACACGGAGCTACATCCCCAGCTCTTCTTGTGTTTTTGAGAGACAGGGTCCTGCTAAGTTTACCAGGATGGCCTCAAACTTGTGATCTTTCTGCCTCAGCTTCCTACATGGCTGGGATTATAATTGTGCACCCCTGTGTCTGGCACTAGTGAAGTTCTTAAATTGAGATTTTTGTATTATAAACATTGAACTTATTTAAAACTTTTACTGAAAAGCTTGCATTAGCAAATACTCTAAAGTATTAGGTATTACGTTATAAAACATTCTTTGAGAGAAGGTAGGTACTAGAAGATTTCACAGGTATTTCAACAATATGATACATGCTATAAAGGGAAAACATAGGTTGCTATGAGAATCTTGATAGTGGCCCAAGTTTAACCCTTCGGCTTCCTGAGGAAGTGTTCTTGAAGACCTGAGAGCTGACCAGGAATGATTCTGGTGGAGGGTTTTAAGATGTCTTGTCAGGTCCCATCCCTTGAATTTGACCCTGTTGTTCCTAAGCAGGGCCTAGGATTCAATTTTAAAGAGGAAAAACTTCATAATTTTGAAGCTCTTGGGAATAGTGGGGCTAGTCAAAGAGAGGAGGAGGTGCGTTCCAAATAGAGGTAACAGCCTGTGCAGTGTGTTGGAGACAGCCAACGCCTAGGGATCCCAAAAAGGAGGAGGTAGACCTTGGCGCAGAACCTTTAGGCCGTGGGGGAAAGGCAGGAAGGAGCTTGGTTACTCAGTGCTGTTGAGCACAAGAAAGTGCCGAGGCTTTAATTTTAAGTAATAGGATAATGTGGTTAACTTCATACTTTAAAAGGGCACTGTGGGGAAAGAGAGGCGCACACTGGGAAGGGGCAGCACAGTGTGGAGGAGCCGTGAGAGTTGTTTGAATTGTCTGAGAAGTGTATTTGGGGATAGGGTAGAGACCTTGAAGTGAAGTGTGAGTGGCTTTATGGTAGAACCACTAGGACTTGGTGACGGATGAACTACTGAAGTTGAACTCTGAGATAACGTGTGTCTGATGTCTGACTCCAACACCTTTGGGAGTGGCAGGCCCGTTTTGTGAGATGCCCAGCACTGGGGAGGATGCAGTGTGTTGAAGGTACTTGGGGCTCAGACGAAGGCTATGTGCTGGAGGTAACAATGGGGAGCTGTTGGTATAGAGAGAGAATATGCAGCAGTCCAGGAGAAAGAAAGGAAAGAGTGCCTGTGGGGGGCCTTAGGGCTCCTCTGCCTCACTGTTGCATCCCGTGTCTAACCTTTAGGTAGCTCCCTGCGGGCTCAGTGTTTCTGAGATGACAGCCTGCAAGGGGAAGAAAGGGACTCTGAGGTGTCCTGCAGAAAACAAGACAGAGCCCATGTTTGTGTTGTGTAGAACTGAGAAACAATGTATCCTTACATTTCATTATTTGCGTAATGTCCTCTTTTTTTTTTTTTTTTTTTTTTGGTTTTTCTCCGGTACCGGGAATCGAACTCACGACCTTGCGCTTGCCAGGCAGGCGCTTTTGCCGCTGAGCTAAATCCCCAGCCCTCTGCGTAATGTCCTCTTAACCCTCAGTGTTAAGAGTTTAGTTTCTCTGTCATGTGTTACTTAATATGTTCAGGAAATTAATCTGAGCTTTATTACAATTTTGAAATACCTAGTGTGCCAGTATTTTCTTTTGAATTCTAATGCTACCTTTTTGGTAGTTGTATTTTTCTCATGGCTGTTGAGTGAAACTGTAACATTTTTGGGAGGTGTCTGTGAAGAAGGTAAATACTTTGTCTACATTTTTAAAGATAAAACAACCAAGGTCTAAAAAGAAGTTTGCCCAGAGGGGTACAGTGCTAAGTGGCAGGCGTGGGATTGGAACCCAAGGAGTCTTGATGACGCTGTGCTGTCCCCTCGCCATCACACTAATTGCTTCTCTTGAACTCCAGTTTTACATAGACCCTTACAAGCTGCTACCACTGCAGAGGTTTTTACCTCGGCCGCCAGGTGAGAAAGGACCTCCAAGAGGTGGTGGCAGGGGAGGCCGAGGCGGAGGCCGAGGTGGAGGCCGAGGCGGAGGAGGCCGAGGTGGCGGCAGAGGTGAGTTACAGGGGAGACTTCGATTCCAGAGCCAGGGCTGACTCGTGGAGTACAGTTTACTTTTGTGTATAGAAAAGCTTCCTTTGTATTTATTTTTTTAGTAAAGCTGCTTTCAATATTGGTGCACTGCCCATAGTGATCGTGCATTATTTCACCAATTTAAAAAGAAAAAAGTCTAACAAAGTGTATTTTTGAGGGATTTTAGTGCTTGAGTTATGTTGGGAAGTTTTTAAAAGTACAGCCATTCATCACATAATACAGATCTTTGTGGGCAACGCCCGATCGGATGATTGCGTTATGTGATTATCCTAGAATGTACTTACCCAAAGTAGAAAGAGTACACTAAAATAACAATAAAAATTAAGTGCAGAAGCCAGTACCTAGTTGATCATAACTATTCTCGAGTCCTTGTGTGTGTATTCTGCTGTTACGTGGAAAGCACCACGGCAGGTGTGTTCACACCGGCATGGGTGCAGATGTGGGAATGATGTGTTGCTCTGCAGTGGAGAGAGGACGGTTCCAGCTCTCTTACAATTCTGTGAGGTCACTGTCTTATACTAGGGGCTTTGCTGACTGATACGTGCATTACATGACTGTTTTAAGATTATTCTAACTGAATTTTAGTTTCTTAGTTAACTGTCACTGAGAATGGATTATATTCTAAGAGCTGGCCTTATATTCTCTTACTACCTTTTTTTTTTTAATACCAGCAAAATTTTCAAGTTAGGTGGAATCCTTATTTTAGGTATAAGGAATTGCAGTCTCACAGAATTTACTTTGCCATATTCAAACAATTCTGGGTGGGCCCAGAATGAAAACCCATGTACTCTGATGTGCTGGGAACTGTTACCAATACGAGTGCTTCTCAGCTTATGGGATCACATCCCAGTAAACCCAACTTAAATGGGAAATACTATAAGTCAGAAATTGTTTAGCGCCCCTGAGCTGCCCAGCATCCCAGCTTAGCACCACAGGCACTGCAGAGGATCTCTTAAGATGCTGAGGCCCAGCAGCACAAAAGTGTCAGCAGTGGTTCCTATGTGGCTCAAGAAGACATAACCAAGAAAACCACTCACTTCTGCCGCCCTTTGTTCTTGGGATACAAAGCCTCAGTCCAATCAAAGCTACCTTTAGTTGAATTAAAAGTGTTTACCTTAAGTGAAAGCCAAAGTAATCAGACATCTGAAAACAGGACTAAGTCAGGCTTGCAAGTAACAGACTTTACCCACTCGTCCAAAGCGAATACTTCTTTAAGGGTGCTGACCTGGGGTTTTACCCTACTGCCCAATTGGAAACTGCTACAGTTTCTGTTTTTTATCTTTTAAAATCTCTGTGAGGCAATATAAGTGAATCTGTGTTCTTTGTGGGAATAGCATTATCCTTGTAGGCTTATCGCAGTGTGGGAGGCTGCGGTTATTTAATAAATATTTCCTTTTTAGGTGGATTTAGAGGTGGAAGAGGAGGCGGAGGTGGAGGCTTCAGAGGAGCAAGAGGAGGTGGATTCCGAGGTTTGAGAAAATGTCTCACTGACTAACTGTTCAGAACCGCGTTGTCTGCCAGTTCTCTTCGTATTTACATTCATCTCGCCTTGCCAGCAAGGATATAGGACACTGTCTTTGCTTTAACCTAATTTATAGTCTTAATTTACAAGACTCTTGCTTTTCTTTTTAGTTTTTTCACTTTCTTTTTTTTTTTTTTTTTTGGTTTTTTCTCCGGTACTGGGAACCGAACTCACGACCTTGCGCTTGCCAGGCAGGCACTTTGCCGCTGAGCTAAATCCCCAGCCCCTAGTTTTTTCACTTTCTTTTAACTTCTTTTTTCTTTTAACTTCTTTTGCTACATTATTAACTTGAAAATAACATTGGTGGATACAAATAATAGTTACATTTGGCAAGGTACATTTACTAAACCTTATGGGAACTAACGCTGCTCTTAAATTGAGACTTGGGTGACAGTACTGTGGCAAATCCCTTCTCTGTTCTCTTTAACCCTTTCATTTTCTCTTGACCAGGGAGAGGACATTAGATGCGCCGTACTTCTCCAGGGACTTCTGCTTTCACCGAATGGTTTGCCTCCATGGTACGTCAGAGTATGCATCTGGAACAAGTCTCCAGGGTGCGGCTGCCAGCATCGGTGGAGCTGAAGTGTCAGTGTCCTGCAGAAACGATCGGGGCAGAGGAGTCACTTTTGCTCTGAAAGAGCATGAACAAGGCTAATACTTTGTACAGTGCCTGGCACTCTGTGGGTGCTTAATACATGGACAAGAGCTATCATTGGAATCATTTTTCAATTTTTTAAAATAAAATGTTTTATTCCTTTAAGGTACATAGAGTGTGTTTATTGAACCAAGACTGTTTTTGAAATTGGGAGGAGCAGCTAACACTTAAACCCAGTGGATTACAGATAGACAAAGTTATTTACATATATTACTACTATATTAGAAAAACAGGCTGCAGGAGAGGTATAAAATTATTTATAAAACAACATCCCTTTCAAAATGTTAACCTTTTATATGTGAGACCATTAATGTCCTTTTATGTTCTAGTACATAGAGTAATACAGTTTCTGTAATTGGAATTAATTGATATAAAATTAATATTAAAATTTTACTAGCTCTGTTCAGTGAAGAACTATATATAATTCAAGAAGTTTCTGAAGAAATGTTAGTTTTTCTCATTCACCATAAGTGGGCTATTGAAAATTTAACTGAACTGTCAATTTATTTTTTTAATAAAGATTTAAGATGTTATTCACCCTAAGCAAATATTGGTGGCCTTGTCCATGTTCAGATTCCTAGGTAGGGCTGTCACAAATGAAATTGGGTTTGGTTACCATTGCTATTGTAGTGTTAGAAATAACCGTGATAGTAAGAATGTGATACGGGGCCATTTACCAAGTGTCAGTGATTTTTTTTTTCTTTACTCTTGTTATTTCTTAGAATTTATTGTTAAATTTCTTGGCGTGAGTGATTAACTTCAGTGTTCATTTGAGTATATTCTTGTATATAGCACTGTTTTTCTTAGCCTTTTTTTTGTTTTAAAGAGAAAAGAACAAAAACTATAAAAATGATACAGAATTTCAAAACAAGATGAGAGGAAATCAATGATTGTTATCTTCAAGGTAGTTTCTCAGATTTTCTTAGCCTTTTTGATTAATGGAATTGCAATAAGATTAACAACTGTATATACCATAAATCTATATGACAAATACGTTGAAAATTACTTTTTTGTGGGAAGAGGTGGTTGTGCTTTTATAGCTTAAGAAAGATGCTTTTTTTGATTTAGAATCCTTGGGATGAAATTTTGAGTATTCAGGTCAAGGTTTTTACTCTTGGTTTGTAAGTGTGCTAGCCCTAGTGGTGCGTGACATTGTTCACAGTGTAATAGTGCAACATTACTGCAGTTTTATTTAGCATCTAGAACACAGATACATAAAACCATTTGGAGAATTTATGTTTACTCTAAGTGAAGTCCATTGGCCATTGTCAACTGCTTTATAATTCCAAGTATTTTTCCCTTTTCATCCTTATTGTACAGTTACAGGTTTGGGCATTTCATTTTGAATCAAGTTCACATATTTATGAACCTAAGTTAATGGGGTGAGTAATGTAATGATCATTGAGTTTCATTATAAGAGTTTGATGATCATATTTTATACTTTTTGAGTTAATAACTTTGTGATCACATTCTTGGTTAAAATGTACTTGATGCTGTGGTAATGAACTAGTTTGATGGAATCCGTATTTCCTGGTTTTCCTGAAATCTTTGGAAGAGTTACGAGGGGAGGATTGATAAGAGGCAGATTTAGAAAGGATAGGACATTTAAGAATTGTGAGGTATCTAGATGTTTATGTTTCTTAGTACGGATAAGCCTCACCAGGTGTGGCAGCACACGCCTGTAATCCCAGCACTTGGGAGGCTGAGGCAGGAGGATCGTTGAGAGTTTGAGACCAGCCTGAGCTACAACGTGAGTTCAAGGCCAGGCTGAACTGCACAGCAAGACCCTGTTTCAAAAAGACAAAAAAAAAAAAAAAAAAGCCTCATCCTAGTGTAGCTTTTCTGTGTCACTACTGACGAAGTACTTTGAATGACCTACCACACTTGTGTCTCAAACCAATTCTTGTAACTAGAAATAATTATTTCTGGAACGTTAAGAATAGTTATAACTATAATCTATTACAGAAATGGGAATGTGAATCAAAGTAAATTTTTAAAATTTCAGATTTTTTATTTTGCATACTGAATGAAAAGAAAGATGTAAAACCCAACAACCAATAGGCTTTTAAGAGAGTTCTTTTAAAAGAGAGTTCTTATGTTTGGTCTTTTTTTTTTTTTTTTACTATTTTCTTTTTTGGTACCGGAAATCGAACTCAGGGCCTCGTGCTTGCCAGGCAGGTGCTGCTTCGCTGAGCTACATCCCCAGACCAGTTCTTATGTTTGTTGCTTTAGAGTTACTGAGAATGTTTCTTTGTTGTGGAGTACAGGTGAGATTCACTCCCCAGCCTTTGGTACTCTTCCGTTTTACTTTGTAGAAATTTGAGTCCTGAAAAAAAAAAAAAAACAAAACAGCCGGGTGTGATGGCGGACGCCTGTAATCCCCGCATTGGGAGGTTGAGACAAAAGGATTATTGGGATTTAGAGACCAGCCTGGACTACGAAGTGAGCTCAAGGCCAGCCTGAACTGCATAGCGACACCCTGTTTGAAGAAGACAAAAAAAGGGGAAAAAAAAGGAATCCTGGTAGTTCTAGGATTGAGAGCAGATTAGTCACGTGTGCAGCTGGAGTTTATACGGAAGTGAGAGAACCAAGGCTGAAGGGTTATCTGGGGCTCCTCCTACACCTTTTAAAAGTTAAAATTAACCTGAGTAAATGGGCAAATGCAGCCCTCTAGTGGTTCTGTTCGGTGCTTACACTACTTGGTGTGTCTAAACTTTTCTCTGAAGTTTTATGGATTTTAAGATGCTTGAGGATAATCACATTTTAATGATGTTATATGCATAGCTTAAAAAAATGGGGAGAAGGGTAGTAAGCATATTCTAACCATACAAGTTCATACTAGTAACCTATTTTTCAGGTTAGCACAGGATAATCCAGGATCTTATGAGACGAAATCGGGCGCGTTCAGGGTGATATGGCCCTAGCAGGTCCAGGATGTTATGAGAATACTGTGTACTTATATAAGATGATTGACTGAATGCAGATCCTTGGCTGATGTTTACTCATCAGATCAATTAACTGCTCATGTGCATATCAAAGTAAGGAAAATGAACTGAGGTAGATAGTGGAGTAATATCCATACTGTACTATGAAACTTATAGATATTAGTAAAAACCTTAATCTCTTGTATGAATGTTTGTATTAGCATACGTTTATATAAGCAATGAAAAGCATGAAAGGGTTTAGACCAATATTGGTGTAAATTGGTATCTTTAGGGCAGTGAGACTTGGAAATATGGGGAGATATTACTCTTTACTGGCATTTAAATTGTTAAGAAAAAGATTAAGGGACCTGCAATGGAAAAGTTTAAAGGGCCAACAGAAAACAGGGTCCTTAATCTAAATAGAGAGACTAAGTCTGGTTCTTAACTTCAAGCAGATCAACTGTGTCAGTGCCTGCACCAGTTTTGGGGGTTTGATTAGTGTTGAAATGGTGTGCTTGATAATCTGTTTACAAGACTGAGGCCAAGCTAGGGAAAATGTGGTGCCCGGTATTTCTTTGTTTTGTTAATAAGCTTTTCCCTTGCTCTGGGAATTAACATCTTTCCCTCTTTGGCCCAATTAAATCTAAGGGAGGGCCTCTATGAGAAGGTGGGTGCTCTGGATGGAAATGATTGGTCCTTAGAAAAACAGTTCCTAATTATCAAAGGCTTATTATGAAGGCTGCCTCAATATTTCCCCCTCCAAAATGCTAAGGAATAGTTTAGGTAACAGTTCAGATTCTAAAAATGAAGATGGCTCGGGCTTTTCGCAGACGGAACACAACATTGTGGCGGCTTACCTGATTCTGGCAGGTAGGGCTCTTACCCAGCACGGTTAGGGAAACCAGGGGTTTTCAGCAAGAGGCTGAAAAGAAGAATCCCATTTGATGATGTTAAATACATAGCATGAAAAGAAGAACCACCTCTTTCATGGGGTGAATGAGGAGGGTTAGCCCCTGTCTCTGCTCCAGAGTAAAAAGTGTGTGAGAGAATAACAAGAGCATTGCTAATGGTACTTTCTGTCCCGGATATTGTGAGGAATAACCCAAGTGTACCGAAGTGGAGCTGTGAAATTTTTTTATAAAATAAATTTTTTGATAAAAGCCAACCATATGTTTGGTTATTACATTGTCGAATTAAGTCTTTTGGGTAAAAAATGTACCGTGACAAAAGTGTATTTTTATATCGTTTGCTTTTCTCATACATAACTTTTGTAGTTTTTCTTTCATGATGGTGGAATCTGGCTTAAAGACTGAAAGGTTCTGGAAAGAAAGGTAAAGTCTCCAAAAGAGCAGAGCGTGGTGTTGTCATTGAGGACAGTTTGAACATTCAGCTCCTTCCAGAAACTCTTGAGCTTTGGATTTTGTCTTTTAGTATTTCAGTTTGCAAACCAGTTGCTTTGCCTTTTTGTTTTTTAGAATAAGCTTCTTCACATGATTGTTGGGAGTAGAATGACTGATAAGCACGTGTTAATGAAGCAGCACGAGTTGGACAGTATTTCTGACAAAGTCTTCTTCACAGACAAAGAATTAGAGGAGATGACAGTAGAAACTGTAGATTGTCATTTTAACGTATTCACTTAATTGTGGTAAAACATACGAAGCAATCATTTTATCTCCAGCTTTATAATTAGTAACAAAGTTTAAAAGTAACTCGTATTTGGGTCATTATTTACCTTTTATGAAAAATTTCAAACATGTTTCAAAGTGGAGTGAGAAGTATAACAAATCTTTTTTTTTCTTTATAATCATGCTTTTTTCTCATAGTTCACAAGTAGAGTTACTACTTCTTTTGCTAGAAATTGTGAAGTTCCTTAGCTGATTTAATAATATGTTAACTTATTCATTTGAATACTTCTGTATGATAGTTACTGGACAAATTTTTTATTTTGTTGTTGCAAAGAATGAGACATCTCATCAGATTTACATGGAAATACTTTGTATATAATACTTTAGGTTTAGCTAATTTTTTATAGATCACCTAGAAAAACTATCAAAAATTGATCTGATTTACAAGAGTAGCATAAGGAAATTTCCCAAGAAAATGTTTCATCTGGTTCTCATCCCTATACTGAACATAATAATAGTTTTGTTACCACTGCTAAAGTTATCATTTGAATTCCTTCTGTACTGTATACCAAGCATTGTTCCAAATCCTTAAAAGTACAGAACAATTCATCTTTACACTAATTCAGTGAGTTACTTTTTAATTCTATTTCCTGTTAAGAAATGTGCCCAGCACACACATTTACTGCATAGTTGCTCCTGGCATTTTGCTTCTAGATTTTACTGTTCTTCAGATCCCCTGATTTTCCTAGTTTGCCAAAACACACTTAAACTCCCAATCAAAATCAAAACTTTGAGAAGCACTCAATCAAAACATTTATTTTGCTTGTTACATTTACTAAGGGCCTGTTCAGTTTACCTGTTGATTAATTAATTTATTAGTGTATGTTGATTACACAGAATGCTGGTTTCACTGTGGCACTTTCATAGAGGCAGGCAGCATACTTTGATTGTTGCCTTAACCTTCCCTTAGCATTTCCACCACTCCTCTGGCCCCTTCTTTTTCTCTGACGGTCTCCCTCTGCTTTCCTCTTTAATCTTTCAGTGAAGGCTGACAAGTGAAAGGTTATGAATTTGAAAATCTGAAATAATCTATCATGGATGAATTATACAATGAAATGAGAGAGACAGAGACCATGTTGGAGACTGCCACTGTGATCCTGAGGAGGGGGATGGGGAGACTGCATAGACAGAAAGTAGCAGACTAAAGAGTTAGGAGGTAGAGTAGGTACTCAGATGTGAGCCCTGGGGGAGAGGGAGAAAGTAGCAAAGCTTTTGCACGCTGGTGCGTAGATGGTGCTGCTGTTCACCAAGACAGGAACATACCCTGGAAAACCAAGGTTTGGGGCAGGAGGAAGTGTCTCTGTGTTCAACTAGAGATGTCCAGTTAAAATCTGGACACAAACCCTTGAGTTTTATGACATCTATATTGGATATAAAGAAATCATTCAGAAAACATGTTCATTGAGAAAAGAAAGGATCTAGGGCCAAAAGTTGGACAGTATACATATTTAATAAGGTAGAGTTAAAGAAAGTTCAAGGACATTAAGAAGGCTCTGCCACTGAGTGAAGCTGCACAGACTAGGGGAAGTATTTCCAGAGTGAAGGAGTGGGATTAGTAAGTGTTGCCTAGAATTAGACTGACTGAGAGAAGAGACTTAAATAAGACCTAACTGTTAAGTGATGTTTGTCTGTTGATAGAAGACACTTGCAACTAGGGACATAGAATGCATAGGACAGCTAGATAAAGAATAAAGGGCTAAAGTTTTTGTGCAGTACTCCTATTACATGCAATACCCTCCCCAACTTTTACCAACTTCTGTTGCTAATCAGATTGTGTACTTGGTAGGCAGCAGTTTACTACTCTGTGTTTTTTATCTGACTTTTAAAGTCCTCAGACTTGTTGCTAGCCCAGAAATATTTTTTTTTCATTTTTATCAGCATTTCTTGTACACGGGCTACAATATTAGACGCTAAAAGAAGGCCAAAGAACATCAAATTTGCTATCCTGTGTTTGAAGAATAATAGCAATTAACCTTAATTCAGAGTATTATGGATGGTCCATTTATTAAATAAATTAGATACATGTCAATACTCAAAGGAAATAGAATTAATTAAGAGTAAAAAATCTACATGAGAAGACTACGAATATGTAAGAGTTAAATAATATAGCATCATATAAGATTAAGTATACTACACTGAAGTACAGGGTGTTAGGGAAGAGAATACTGAGTAGGGTGGGTAGAAAGCTTTGGGGCTGAATTGGGCTTGGGCTGAACTTTGACAGATAGCTTGCTTTTGGAGATATAGAGGAAAGGAGTAGAGAATTTCAAGTGGGAAAAAGTATGTACAAAAAGCACAGGACACTTGATGAATAAGTAGAATGGAGGGCTTGTTTGACAAGTGCGGAGCCTAAAGAGGGTGACAACAGATGGAAACAGCCCAGAGGGGACATTTGGCTTTTATCCCATAGGCGGTGAGGCGAGCAGAAGTTTTGAGAAGATCTATAGTTCATTCTGTGTACTAAGCTCATTCTGCCAGCAGCATGGAAAGGAGAACAGAAACCGGAAGACGAATGTGACAGGATGCTAAGCTGGAAGCTTTGACTGAAGTTCCAAGATATAGTGGAAGTTCTCACTCAGCCGATGCTTTTGTGTGTTTGGCGTGTGGAGACCCGTCCCTCTGCAGTGCTCTTCCTGGGAAGCCCAACTCTTGCTGTGCATTGCACACCCTTTCTCTAGTCACTAGGAGTATGGTAAGGTTTTGAGCCTCTCTGCTGAAATTTATTTGCCTCGCCTTCACCATTAGGACCTAGGATGGCTCACATCTGGATTGTGGAAAACTTCTGCATCCTTTGCCGTATAGGGGATGCTGACCTGATTAACATACATGTCTGGTCCACTAGGTGGTATTTCTCATTGTAAATTAATACACTAACATTCTGGTTAATAAGCTTAGACATCAATCTCCTTGAGTCCAACCAGTTACTAGGGAAAACTGAGCTCTAAATTGCAAGGCTAAGTTAGATCCCAGTGTGGAAACTTGGGTAAGGTGATATCTATCACCCAGTGGACCAGAAAGCTTGCTAGACTTTCTGCCTGGATAGTCAAATCTTAAAGTGAGAATTCTTATCTAAGGATATATGTTGGATGAAGAATTCAGATTTGGACACGTTGACTACAGACTTGATGAAATACTGGAATGGTCACGTGATCTTATGCATGGTAGGTGCTTAATAAATGTGTTATGGCAGTGAGTTGAATAAGGATAAATTGTGAAACTGGGGCATATATCAGGGTTACAAATAACAATAACAGTGCTATTGAGATAGAATGAAAAGTTTAAGAAAGAAAACCGTAAGAGAAACAAAAGCTTCAGGCTTCAGTAAAAGAGAGGAAGGAACTCCAAAGTGAGCACATGGTTAGTCATACCCACATCCTAAAAATCAGTAGGGATGACATGAATGCCAGGGACAGAGTGGTCAACAGTGATGACATTCAAACTAGCCTTTGGTGCTACTTACATAACCAGCAGGTTTCTGTTTTAATTTTCTTGTTTCTATCTCACACAAAAACTTCCAAGATGTTGTAAACAGGTTTAAGAACAGCAGGAACGGTTGAAGCAAGTGAATGAAAATGGATTTGCTCCGTTTTTAAAGGGGCTTAAATATTGGGCTCCTACTTTCAAGCATTCAATTAAACAAAGTGTATGACATTTTTGTCTATGTTCTTAGGTCTGATAAGTATTCTCAGCAACATAATCGTTCTGGGCATCTTTGTTAAGCACAAGGAACTTCGAACACCTACGAATGCAATTATCATGAACCTGGCTTTGACAGACATAGGGGTCAGTAGCATCGGCTACCCCATGTCTGCTGCTTCAGATCTGCATGGAAGTTGGAAATTTGGATATGCAGGCTGTCAGGTACTGGAGAGCTTTGGAATAAAAGCAAAATAAAGTAGATCAAGGAGATGTAAATTTAAACGTCTTTTAAAATCTCAAGAATACACATCAAGTAAGATACTGTAGGATGATATATATTGTACTTCACAAGTGACTGAGGATAGCTATGTTCTTTAAGAAGAGAAAAAAAAAAGAAGAGAAATAAAGTCACTAATCACCATTAGGTTTTCAAAATTCCCCCCACTCAAAGGAAAAAACAAACAACCAGCATTCAACTAAAAAGGAAGTATGGTGATCTGCATATTCAAATAAAATTTACATAATGTAAAAATTTAAAAACCACTCTACTTTCACTTCAAACAATAAAATATTGGTGATAATCATACCTACGGAATGTAGTTAGGGCATTATATGATTGATTTTTTTTCTTAGAAAGCCCTACGTGAGAATTGTTATTAAATATACTTACTGTTAATTTTAGTAATGAAAAATGAATTAATATTAATTTACATGAGGATAGTAGGCAAATATGACAGTCTATCTTTTAACAGTTTACTATTGTAAGCCATAAAATTATAAAGAATAAATTCAGGGTAACAAAAAATACTTGATACCTATCTGTGTACCAACCAGTTTCAATCTGTGCTTCAGGTTGTTTTTCTTTTAAAATATAAAAAATGTCATGGCCAATCATATTCCCCTTCCTCCCATGAATTTTTTTCTTATCACATATTTCATATGCAAAAGCCAGATATTGTCTGAATGTTTAAAATTGTGTGTAAATGGTGTCATGTTACTGACATTACATAGTTTCCTTTCATTGTTGGTTGTTATGTTTTTGAGATATATCCATGGGATGGGTGTGGCTTTAAGTCAATTATTTTAATATCATATTTAATTGTCTGAATAAAGCCCCATATTCTTTTTCATTTTCCTGTTACTGAGCATTTGTTCCCAGTTTTTTTCTTTCACAGACAAGGCTTCAATTACTATTTTTAAGCATGGAGAGCTTTACAATGTGAGGATTTCTCTAGATGTGTTGCCTCGGGGGAGGGCTGGGCAATACAGAATATTTGTCTCAACATAATTCGATGTGGCCAGGGCGTTCTCCAGAATGGTTATTCTAGTTATGAGAACTTCTGTTATCCCACACTTTCCCGAACACTTGGAAAGATCAAATTTTTAAATTTTCATCATTTTTATAAGTATGGAATGATAGTTTTTATTTCTTTGAATACTTACTATGGTTGTATATCTTATGTCATGAACATTCAAATGTACGTGGGCTTATGTGAATAGCCCATTCATCATGTGTCCATTTTTCTATTGAAGTTTTACTCCTAAACTTTTACTCCTAAACTTTTTTGGTTATATGCATTTTACTCTAATTTATGACTCATTTTTATTTTATTTTATTTTATTTTTTATGACTCATTTTTCACTTTGTTTATAGATTATGTTGGTACATAAATTTCACTTTAAGTCTTAAAATTTTTAAAATTTAATTGATAAAATCTGAAAACACTTTCCATAAGCACTTTTACTAAAGTTACAATTTGACAATGGAAAATATATTTTAAAATAGCAATATAAAAACTTTAAGATATTTGAAATATGTTCTAACAATGAGACAAAAATGTAAATATGTGTGGAAGGGTCTTTAGAATTGTGTGCTTTTTTCCATTTTGATTTTCAGGTTTATGCTGGGTTGAACATCTTTTTCGGAATGGCAAGCATTGGGCTGCTTACGGTCATAGCCGTGGATCGCTACCTGACCGTCTGCCGTCCTGACGTAGGTACAGCACTTTTTTCAAATTATTGCCTAATGGCGCTGCACATACAATCGCTTCAAAATATAAGCATATGATTTGCAATCAGGGTCAGTTTTATTTTTTTGGCAAGCCTTATTCAAGAGTTTCAATGTGTTCCTATCATACTTTAAATAAAGTCAAATTGCACTTGGCAGCCTGCAAGGCCCTATAGAATCTGGCCCTGGCTACCCGTCCAGCTTTGACTAGGACTACTCTCTCTTTGGGGTACCAGCCACACCCTTTCCCACTCTGAAGTCTTCTGCAAATGCTGTTTTCCTTTGCCTGAAAAGCTGCTTTTCTGGCTTATCCTCTGGCTGATCCTATTTATCATTCACATTTCAGCTTAAATATAATGTATGTTTCCAGAAAAGGAATTCATGTACGTAAGTTTTGAATGAACTAAAGTATTCTGTAAAGGATCTACTTGATAACAACTTTGAATCATCAGTCAAAACAGAGAGTGCCATCATTGCTAATCATGCTAATTTTCCCTATTCTTGTTCACAGGAAGAAGAATGACCTCCAACAGTTATGTCGGCATGATTCTAGGGGCCTGGATCAATGGCCTGTTTTGGGCTTTGATGCCCATCATAGGATGGGCCAGTTATGCCCCAGATCCTACAGGGGCTACCTGTACCATAAATTGGCGGAAAAATGATGTGTAAGGCACAAGCTTACACTCTATAATCGCACGCTTCTCCTGTACACTTTTCCCCAGCTCCACATCTAAGCTCAAATCCTGTTTCTCATAGAGTGTGGCAAAGTGCTTCTCTGGTCCTAATGAAGTGATTCAAGCAAGAGACAAAGTAGAAATTATGCTTGTTTGCAAGTCAGTGTCATCCAGCTCCCTTTGTCCTCTTACACTGCCCCTCCTTCCTTCGCTGTCCTCTCCAAGACAGCGATGTGGGATGCCACTCAACCTTCCAAAACCTGCTCTTCTCAGAGTCAGGATTGTGAGTAGGAAGTGTGCTCACAGAGAGCAGGCATCTCTGGCAAAGGCCCAGGCCACTGTGACAGTCACACAGCAAAAGAGCAGTCCTTGCAAAACATCGCCTGCAAGATAGTGATGTTCATCTGTCTTTTCCATGGAAATGTGGAATTTAGTTCATGAAGGGAAATGAGAAATCCAGCTCTGCCAGCACACTGTGAAAGAGGCCCATAGAGCATGTAAATGAATGTGCATGGCTGTGTTCAAATATCAGATAGCTGGCTGGTTGGAGCTGGTCCACAGGGCATAGTTTGCCAACCCTTGGTCTTAGTGAACTAAAAGCCAAATAGAATTCCTAACATTGTAATAATAAAATAGCTATCAGTGTTATGTATAATAATCATCTCTTCTTTTTTCTTCCTCCACTTAGGACATTAAATGAGTAGTCATGTCTGCCTTTACTTATTTCAGATCTTTTGTGTCTTTCACGATGATGGTTATTGCGATAAATTTCATTGTGCCCTTGGCAGTGATGTTTTACTGCTATTTCCACATCACTCAATCCATCAGACGTCATGCGACTGGTAACTACCCCACAGATCTCAACAGAGACTGGTCAGATCAGGTGGCTGTAACAAAGGTGAGGAGCCAAAGTCCTTGAAAAGGTTTCTGTAATCAGGCTCTCAGATCAGTTCATAGCTGAAAGAGTCTCATGGCCTTGCCCCTGGTTTCCTTTTGTCCATCCCAATGTTCACTCCCGTGCTCTTTCTCCTGGTGTTTACCAACATATTCCCAATTACAGTATATGCTTATCTACTGTTTGGGTGTTTCTGGGTTTTAGCATTTCTGGGCTTTCTATTATGGACAATGAAGATTTATCTCTTTCACCACCAACTTGCCTCACTCCGCCCCTACACTTTCTCTCCATCCTGATAGTAAGCAGGCTAACAATATTTGGCTAGATATGGGGCCTTCCCTGTCTTCTACTTATGTTCAGATTGTCAGAGACACAATTCCCCTGTTCTCCTGGTGCGTCCTTCCTGGCATCCTTAAAGTGGCTGCTCTACCACTGCTGTGCAGAAAGCCATCTTCCTCAACACCCTTCAGCACCAACTGTGAATCCCTTGTGCATCTCTGCAGAGTCATGTTGCCTCTTTTCTGCTTGCTTGTGCTCCTTTTTTTAGTCTATTTCCTCTGATTTGGTGGAATATACTCTCTAGCAGGTTCCTGATGTTCCAAAGGATATAAAAATTTTAAGACTTTGCATAACTGAAAATGTCTGAATTCTACTATTGTGTTTGACTGATTGTCTGGCTGGTCTAGAATTCTAGGGAACAAAAGAGCATTTAAGCACATTTTTGAAGGGATTGCTCTCTATCACTTCTTAGCTCCCAGCACAGTTGCTACAAAGGTCTTGGCATTCTGGTGATTGGTCCCTCATAGTGATCTGTGAGTTCTTTCTGGAAGCTTGGGAGATTTTCTCCAGATCTCCAGTCTTCTAACTCTCATGCTGATGTGCCATGGCGGGGTCTTTAGTCAGCCAGTGCTGGGTACTTTCTTCATTAGTTCAGTGTGGAGGCTTGGGTCTTCCTCCTTTGGAAACATTCTTGTGTTATTTCTCTGGTGATTCCTGTCCCCCTTTTTCTCTGTTCTCTCTTCCTTTTACTTGGGTATTTAAGTTTTTGGCTTTATCTCTGTTTTCCTCTCCTACACTGTCTTCTTTTTTTGTTGTTCATTTTGCGGCTGCCCTTGTTTGTTCCTTTTTGTTTCTAGTTTCGGGAGTATTTCTGGAGCCGTATGGAGTGCTCTGTTGAGAGTAGAGACCATGAAGCCCCAGCTGAGCACAAATGTAAATGAGCACCAAAAAATTCAGTATTAAAAGTGAGTTTACTGCAGCAATTTAAAGCATCAAAATTTGTGTAAAACTCATGTTGAACAAACTATAACATTTTGATGGAAGATAAGATCTGACCCTGCATTTAGAGAACTACTTGCCCTAAACCTGTCCCTCAGCCTGAGAAAAAGTCATTAGGCCCTTTTATTACATTTTCAACATTCCTCCTCTCAGGATAAAACCACTTTTACAGATAAAAATGTTATTATGTACAATATCCTACTTTTTAATCGCGTCCCCATTTTATGTACATGTATACTTCCTTCTGTGCTATTACATATGTGTTTATATTTTCTTCCTGTTCCCTGTGTATCTTGGGTGTGCACTAAGTTCTTGCACTGTGTATACTCTCCTGTCAGTATTTCCTTGGTGTCTCATGGTCAACAGCTGTCCCCGCATTGCTTTTAAGAATAAGAGGGATGCTCTAAAAAGCCAGTTGTCAACCCAGAGCTGTTCATTACCTAGTTGTTTCCTTTGGAGGATTTCTCACTGTATCTCTTGGTATTTTATCCTGGGCTGATCAGTTCCCAAGGAGACAGGTCTTTCCTGTCTCTGTAAGTGCAGGGAGGGACAGCAGCAGGTACCCCACTTTTCAGAATAGGGCAGTGGCTGAGCCCAGCTTCTGCATTCTGAGTGTTCGTGCTTTAGTCTTGGTGCTGAGCCTCTGGGATTCTGATTCTTCCAGGAGAGGAAGGGGCAGTCACTGAGTGGAGTAGGGACCTGGGGAGTGGGTATGGAGTCTAGTTACCTCTTTTTGCAGATTTTAAGCAGTTCTCCCTCTTTGAGTTCCCCGTGCAACCCTATCCTGCCCCGGTCCAGAGCTATCTGGTACCTTCAGCTCTTAGACTTCTGTAGTTTTGTAGAAAGGGTTAGTCTGTACCTGGGTTCCCTCCTTGCTGGCTCTTTTCAACATTTCCTTATGTGTTTTTTCAACCCTTCTCATGTCTAGGAAGTAACTTGCCATTTGTCCAACAGTTGTTATTTCCATGAAGAAACAAGGTATTGCCTAATCTGTGATTCTCTGTACTTATGAGTTTATGTTTTTTTTTTTTAATTTTCTTTTCCATCATTCTAGTGGAGTATCAGAAGGGAAGAATGCAAAAATTCATTATTTCTCCACTTAAACATGATGCAAAGGAGCTCTTTTACAAAATTATCTACATTGTATATAAAATATATTCACTTCAAATTGCTTGTGGTAGATTTACTGAGGTCAAGATAGGGCTTTACTTCCAGATTGAATTTAGAAAGTGTTTTTTAAGAGTATCACCTATGAGGGGGAGAGAGAGAGACTTTCTTATTATTACTTTCTTATTCTTAAAAGCATACACTGATCGCCACACCCATCGGGCAGGCTCTTGTTATCCTAGAGGATTTCAGGCATCTAAACAAAGAGCAGAAACGTTATGAACAATACAAACTTACTCAAACTCCAATCTATATAATTTTATGCTGTCTCAGCTATACTCAGTATTTAAACATTTTAGATGCTGCACATGGCAAATGTCTGTTTCTTTTCCAGATGTCTGTGGTCATGATTCTGATGTTTCTGGTGGCATGGTCCCCTTATTCCATTGTGTGCTTATGGGCTTCTTTTGGTGACCCGAAGAAGATTCGCCCCTCAGTGGCCATCATAGCGCCACTGTTTGCAAAGTCGTCCACGTTCTACAACCCCTGTATTTATGTTATTGCTAATAAAAAGTAAGCAATATCTAAAATGCTTTTTAAAGAAATGACACAGAAAGAATACTCTAAGTGCATAATGTTCTAAGATTTTAAGGCAGCAAGTGACAGAATTTCATTCCAACCAGGTGCTTTGGCTCAGCTGACCAAAGCAGCATCCAGGATCTTAAATGCCCAGTGCTCCAGTTCTGTGACAAACTCTTTCCACACGGTGGCAGAGATGATCTTGGGTAACCCGAGAACCTAGTTCTACCAGCCAAATAGCTCAGACAGTTCTTTGGCAGAAGAGTCCCTGCTGATCAGCTTGGTTCAAATGGTTACCCCACCCCAAGTCCATGGAGTAGTGTTTTCCGAACAAATGAGTGATTCTATTACCAGCGGAATGTTGGGCAGTTTTAGTAGGCAGAACAGTTGTACATTTACTGAACAGAACACGTTAAAATGCAAGAGAATAATGCAGTGCTAACATAAAGAGGTCGGGAGTGGGCATCACTCAGGATAAGAGAGAAGCCCCTGCCACCTTTTGTAGACTCTCAGGGAAGTGCTTTCCTGACCCTTCAGTGATGTTTAGATGGTTTCGTTTCCTGTCGCTGCTGGAAGATGGACCAATGTACTCTATGTCCTTGACCAGGAAGTCTCAGAGGAGGTCAGGAATCTGATCCTGGAATTCCAGTACTGTTTGTATTAAATGTGTATTTATGTACATGCTCTGGAGCACAGCTTTAGATGCAGGTATGTGAAGGAATGTAACAATAATAAGACCAAACAGATCACAGAAGGAGAATAAAGAACACAATTGAAATTCAGAGTCTACTGGAAGTTCCTTTGGAAAGTTCAGGCCTTTTGAAACCCTCAAGGTCAACCAATGGACGTTTGCTCAGGGCGGGTGGATGCAACCCACACCCTTAGTTCAGATAAGTAACTCATTGCACTTGACATTTGAGGTGTCATTCTAGCACACGTCATTATTGATTTTGTTAAATGTCTTCAGTGCTGACAATCACTGGTGTAAAGTTGGTCTTCAACTGAACCATACATATAACCTATGCAGTCATAGCGGGTCTCAGAAGCAGATGTTAAAAGAGGAGGCAAAATTTATTTGGAGGTGTCAGTTGACAGTGTTTTCACATTTGTGAAGGTTTTCATGGTTCCATGCCATTATAGGATAACACTAGCCTTTTTTGCTTTTGTTCTAGGTTTCGGAGGGCAATGTTTGCCATGTTCAAATGTCAGACTCACCAAGCAGTGCCCGTGACAAGTATGTTACCAATGGATGCATCTCAAAGCCCATTGGCTTCTGGGGGAATCTGAAAGGAGAGCCAAGCACACGCTATCAAAACATTTTATTTATGCAGTATCTTTTCCAGTACCTTCACTTCATTGTAAATATGAGCCTATTTAGACTGAGTATGGTCCTAGATTATTGTCTTATTAAACTATTAGTTCATCCTGTGCAGCTCATGGTTCTTGGGTTGGTGCCCTGGCTGGCTGTAACGCTTGCTTCTCTCCTTATATGTACATTTACGGTTCATTTCCTTTGGTGAATCTCAGCACATGAGATTAAGCTCCCTTTCTTCATTTTTATTATGGCACACATTGCACTGTATTGATGATCTATAATTTCCCTGTGGTCTCCATTAGACTAGAAACAGCCACTATTTTAATCTTAGAATAAATTCATGATCTCCAATAAAATTATAGAAATTAGTTGTCAGATGTTCTCAGCTAGAATAAAAATACTTTCAGCACTTCAAAAATGTAAAATTTATACTCAATTATTAACTAATGTTTATCACAAAGATTAAATGAACATTAAACATTATTGCTTTTAAATCATGTCAGTCAGGCTGGGGATTTAGCTCAGTGGTGCAGCACCTGCCTGGCAAGTGTGAGGTTGTGAGTTCGATTCCTGGCACCCCCCACAACTGTATATTTCTCAGCAAGAGGAAAAGATAATAAATTGTGTCAGTCAATGCACATATATATTTCATATAGCTATATGATCTCTCTGAGTTTTGTTATGTATTCTGTAGTTTTAATCCCATTTTTCTGCACATGTATTTCCATATATTTGCCATTAAAATTAAGTTTAATTAGAATTGGAGCTTTTGTATGTTTGTTTTCTCATGTAGCCTTAGCTCATGGACAATATATCACATAGTTAATATTTCTCAATAGCACATTCTGTCTGGCATATGGTAAGCATTTAATAAATACTTGTTGAATGTTGAATTAATTTATAGATTCATACATTTGTAATTTTCAATGACTATTAGACATAGCACAAGATACCATTGTTTAAGTAGCTGACATCTTAAGCTGCTTCTAATTTTTACTTCCACTGAAGCACAATTGGGAACATTTTAGTATAGGTATCTTTTTCCTTTGGGAGACTCCAGACTAAAGTTACTGGATACATATGTGAGAACTTCCTTGCTCTATCTCAACAGCTACCAAAGAGTTTTACCTGACAGGATGATCTGTGGTGCTGATTAGACCCCCAGGGGCCTAACTATTATTGCCTCCACTGGCCAACAGGTTGAGTGTGAGGTCTTGTCTTGGTCACTTTCTCACCGGTGGGATGTAATACTTGACACTTACAACTCTAAAGAAGAGAGGTTTATTTGGCTCATTGTTTGTAGAGGTTTCAGCCCATAGTTGTCTCCAAGGCAGGGAGATAGACTGCTATGGCTCATATCTAGATGTCCCCTCAAAAGCTCATGCACCCATGGACAAGGTCTTGGGAGTGACTAGATCATGGGTGTGTGGACTGGATCATAGCTTTGTGATACTAGGTTAGCCCAGTGAATGGTTTAGCATAGTTCTGGTTGGGGGTGATGGATTTACTAAAGAGGGAATCTGTATTCTGGGTGTGGGCAGCGTAACCGATAGGCTTGTGGCCTGGATGAAATAAAAAGGGAAAGAAGGATGTTTTACTGCTTCCTACTTGCCAGGCCCCTCTGCCATGCTGGGCTGCCTTGGAGCCGGCCTACTATGGACTGAAACCTCTACAAACTATGAGCCAAGATAAACTTCTCCTCCTTTAACATTTGGGGTGTCCTAGCAACGAGAAAGTAACTAGGACACAAACCCTTCCAGGCTACACCTGCAGTGACCCACCTTCTCTGCCTCACATTCAGCTACAAACACATCAGTCCCCATGACCCAACCACCTCCCTTGAGTCTTTGGAGGACATCTAGATATAAACCATCGCAGCTCTTTGATAGGAAACTAAGGCCCTTCCTCCATAACCTCACTCTCCTCATCTTGCCAGCTTTGCCCACACCCAACTTCCTGCCTCAAAATCTTAGGCCCGTGCTGCAGAAAGTGTGGTGCTTTGGGAAGAACATATCATTTCTCTCTTGTCTCCCTTTGTTCGTGCTCTTTCCTCTGGTTGTAGTGTCTCTCCTGGTTTTCTCATAATATGTAAGTAACGTGCATTGTATAACAGGCAGCTCAGGCAGCATGCACCACAGGAGCCGTCCCTGACCAGCACAGGCTGGGTGCGATGGACCCTTGTGCCTCTTTCTCTTCCCATCCTTCCCTCGCCCACCCTTTCTCTCTTTCTTACCTTCCTTCTGCCCTTGCTCTCTCTCTCTCTCTCCCTCTCTCTCCCTCCCACATTCCTATGGACTGAAACCAAGACCTTTACACTGAGCTGCAACCCCAGCCCATTTTTTTATTTTGAGTCAGTCTTACTAAATCCCTTAACTTGCCTTGTCTGCGTTTAAACTTGCAATTCTCCTACCTCAGTTTAGGGAGGTGTGAGCCACCATGACCAGTTTACATTATGCCTCTTCATCGTGTGAGTGCCTTATGTGTAGTGGCCCAGTCTTACTCATCTTTGTTCCCCTGTACTTAGATCCGTCTTGGCATGGGGTAAGACTCAGCAAACATCTGAAGAACAAATGAAATGTCTAGAATCAGAAAACCTGCAGTGTTTCATTTTAATTGAACAAGTTTTTCAGTTTCTTTTGTTTCTACATGAATTCTATTAATTTTTGGTAATATTTCCCACAATATTTTTTTGTTTTTGTAGAACTGATTTTGTTTTTTTCAATTTTTTGTTTAAAGATGATGGATAGACATGTGTAATATGAAGATAAAAATCTTCATTGTCTCAGATGGTTCTTCAATTTATGTGTGTAAAAGTAATTTTACAAGAATTAAACTTTTATTTCCTGTTAGAATCTAATGTTGCTAAAAGATATTACAGTGGGCCTTAAAATATGATTTTCAGAAAGATTTTTTAAAAAGAGAATTTAAAAAAACAATAAAAATGATACAGCATTTGAACACAAGATGATAGGAAGTTAACAATGGTTATTATATTGCATATTGCTATCTTCAAAGTAGACTCTCAGATTACCAGGCATAGGCATGGAAAGTTGATCAAATATGGATTTGATGCCCCAAACTTGGGAAACTATCTTGGAGTAAAATACGCTCCCAAGCAGAGACACCTGCCTGCATTAACAACACACATGCGGGATGAGCTGACACAGGGCAGGCAGCTGAGAGAATCTCAGTGAACTGTCTCACTGGGGCTGCTGTCCTAGCATGGGAAGAAGGCTTTGTCTTCTTCCTAAAAAAATACCCATGGCCTGGACTTGGTTTGTTTTGCTTTGCAGTTGGCTAGTATGGGGCAACACTGATAACTCTATTCTAAATCAATCTAGTGTCAAGTACTTCTATCTTTAAAACTAAATCTTGTAAAACTGAGTGACACACATGTTGATAAAAAGCAAATACAAAAAATAAAATGTATAAAGCACCTGTAAATAAGCTACCAAATTTCCTAGCTTCTGCCTAAGAGCCTTAATTCTTTTCAACATGAAGTGTATTTTTAAGGTGTGGTGACAGTTGCATCTGTAGGGAAGTGACTTAGTAGGTATTTCTTTGTAAATCTAGTTACTGGCAGCTATTGAAGTTGCCCTGATTGGTCTGATTTTTCACTTCCTGAGAATGTGTTACTTGCTGAACCATCCTCAGAGACTGGGTCGATTGACCCTTGCAACAGACACTTGAAGGTTAAGTAACTGGCTCCCGGCTAATCCCTGGTAATCTGCTGTTCCTAAAGGACTGCTTGCGTTCCTGGCATGCTGGTTTCTGAATGCTTTGGATTTGGTTTTTACCTCTTGTACAGTAACCCCTGGAAGGAGCCATGTGTCTGTTTGCATGTGCTTGCATTGTGATTAGCTTTTTGGGGGGAGTGAGCTCTTCGTGTCCGTCTCAGTGTACCTGTGATTATCACGGCAGGAATGACGGCTCAGGATCAAGGTACGGCCTCCTCTTGCTACTAAGTACTCTGATTATTCCAGCCACACGAATAGTGCCCACACGAATCGGCCTGATTTTAAAAGCAAGCTGCTTTACTATCAGAAAACAGAGGTTTAATTTACATACACTTTGGTTTAAATGTGTTAATATTGATTGGACATAGATGTCCATTTATCATTTTCATTCTAAGCAGTTTAACTTGCAAAAGACTTGCAAATTATTTGAAACTCCCAAAACTCTGTGTTACAAAAGTATTCCTTACACTGATGCAGATGCCCCTTTCAGGAGGTCCAGCCATTCCATGTGTATGACCAGCTTGGAAGTTGATGCTAGACAGTACAAGGCTGGGCAGCGGGTGCTGAAGATGCCCACATTGTTTGCTGTCAGGGATCTCTGTCTCCATAGACAATTATTCCTGACCACCGTAGGACAGTGGGAGGGAAGACTGAAAGAGGGAAAAGAGTGTCCTCACTTAGAATTTTTCATTTTAACTAGTGGAATTGACAAAGAAAAGATGTTTGATAAATATGGCTGGCTGGAGACACTGTAGGGATTTACAGAGTTCTTTAATCTGTGGGTTGCTTTGGCATCTACCTGTGGAGTAAGAATAGTAATTTGTTTTAATGTGTATCTCCTTTTAGATATAATTTAAATGCAAAACAGAACTCTTACTAGCTAAACATAGTAGACCTTGAATTGTTTTCTAGAGTATTTTTTAGTAATAAAATCAGATTATTTGTGACTCATGTAAAAAGAATAGTACAACTTTAAACAAACAATAATAATTAGGGCTGAGGGGTAGCTCAGAGGGGGAACACCTGCCTGGCTAGTGTGACTCCAGGTCCAGCCCCTAGCACTGCCAGTAATAATGATCATAATCACAATCAATCTCAGTGTGATTCATTTGTTTTGCTATTTATGGGCTTTACTCAACCATTTTTGGTATCTTTTTGAGATATTCATCTGGGTAGTTAAAGATAATAAAAAGAACAGGACAAGATAAAATCCTTTCGTCCAGGAATCTGCCGCAGTTTGTGACCAGGCCAGGTTACTTTTGAGGGAGCTATAAGAAATGCTTTCTTCTCCTTGGTGGCTGCTTATTGACCAATTTTACAAAAATCATAGACTATTACACCTGCCAAGAACACTAGAAATACTGTAGTTTAACTGTGTCCTTTTACAGATGAAGAAATGAGACTGTACAGAGAGGAAATGATTTGTCAGCGGCCACGAGTGATGTGGCGACTGAGTTGATGGATATGTCCTCCAGCAGACAAACTGATAAACAGAATGTGGTGTTTACACACAATGGAGAGCCTCCAGGAGAACATACTGCCTCCAAGCTCCAAGCTCCAGGCACAAAAGCTGAAATAGCACATGGTTTCTTTTCTGTGAGAAGCCCTAAATACAAATAAAGAACAAAATAAGTGACAGAAAACAGGAAGAAGGGAGACAGGTCTTTCTCATAAGGAAAAGGGACGGGGAGATGGAGGGAGGGGAAAGAAGGTGGGGGAGGAGATGAACCAAGGAGCTAAGATGTGTTATGGACACACACCAACTCCACACGAGGAATGTAAGCATTGTGAACTGCAAACATGGACTAATTTTTTAAAAAGAGGCTGTTTTTTAGCTTTCTATCTTGGCCCTTTCGCTATAGCACACTGAGACGCCTACTTAATGGATAGAAACCGCTACTGTTCTGATACGAAGTAGCACTGAATTTGTAATATAAAATACAGATGAAGACTAAAAGCTAGCTCCCGAGACTTTTCCTGGTTCCATAATGTCTTCTCATAACATTATAGGGAGATGATGTTACGGAGGATGTTGAAATTATATGCTGCTCACCTCTGTTTCTATGGTGGGCTGGCTTTAGAAACAAACTGATTTAATGGGATGTATTTTTACCTAATCTTCTATCTTACTGTTAAGAAAATATTAAGATATAATGTTAAGATATAATCTTAACTGTTAAGAAGATATTATTTTTACCGAATCAACTATCTTACTGTTTTACTGCTATGGTTTGCTGAATGCATAGTGTGTTGTAATCCTGATGGAACTTTGAAAAATTGTTTTTTGCTCATTTTCAGTAACATAGATAAATATATAATGGGAGATAAGGAGGACTTTTTTCCCAGGCTAAAATGAATGTAAATTCTCAGATTTTTCACACTTTACATCCACATATGGGACAGGCTTGTTTTTCTATGCCTGTTTTATTGTGCCAGCAAACAAGGTCACAGTGTAACTTGATCAAGGTCATGATCAAGTTAGTGAGTGGCAGAAGGAGAAATGCAATTTCTGGCCAGTGTCTTAGGTGGAAAGCAATGCACAGCTCATGTTGTGAAAGCAGAGCTGGGCTTTAAGCATCTGTGTGAAGGTTTGCTTTTTTCCCAATAAATTGATTCTTTTAAAAAGGATCAATTTATGATTCTAACACAGGATTCTTCTAACATGGGCCATTTCCTATAGAGGTGCCCTTCTGGGTTTGATGACATCCTGGCCAAAAGGAGCTCTGTACTCATTAGCAGGGAGACCTTGACAAACTACATAACACTGGGGACCATGTTCACTTTAGATGCAAAACTGAGATTGTCAAGAATAGCAGCAAATACCTACAGGGTGTTCACGGTGTGCCAGGCAGGCGTAGAGTTTTACACAGATTTTAATTAATCGTCACAAGAGTGCCATATGGGAAATGTGGCTGTGGTCTGGTAAAGTGGCTTTCCCGGGGCAGGGGAGGTGGCAAAGCTTAGATTCGAATCAAGATTAGCCTGAGTGTAGAGTTGGTGCCTTTATCTAGTCCCCAGTATCTACTGTCTTGGGCCATTGTGATGATTAAATAAAAAGATGGCCTTGACCTGTGTTGCCCAGGCCTGGCTTGGAAAGAGCTCCAGAAATGCCAGGTTGAACAACATGAAGCTGCTGGTATTTGGTCCTTTTGTATGATGATTATGGTCATTTCATGTGGTTCAACTTAACCCTTGCTGCTGTCATGATAATGAAGACGATGAAGATGATGATGCCTTATTAATGACCAAATCAAACAAGTCACACATATTTTGTGACAAGGAGTCAATGAACAATTGATACACGTTTCCACTGAGCATTATTTTTTTCCAAATGGGTCCTGAAAGTGGGTCTCTTTGTGTTGCTCTTGTGACACTAGGTCAGTGCTATGTAATGATCTGGACATGAATGAAGTCCCCACCAACATCCCCGTGGACACGGCCAAGCTTCGCATCGAGAAGACCGTCATCCACAGCATCCCTGCTGAGGCTTTCTACTACCTGGTGGAGCTCCGCTACCTCTGGCTCACATACAACTCTGTGGCCAGCGTGGAACCCAGCAGCTTCTACAACCTGAAGGAGCTGCATGAGCTGCGCTTGGATGGGAACTCTCTGGCCACCTTCCCTTGGGCCTCTCTGTCTGACATGCCCCATCTGAAGACCCTGGACTTGCACAATAACAGAATAACTAGTGTGCCAAATGAGGCAGGCAGGTATCTGAAGAACCTTGCCTACTTGGATTTATCAAGCAACAGACTAACCACGCTACCCCCAGATTTCATGGAGAGCTGGTCACACTTAGCTAGGACTCCTCCCAGAAGCCCAGACCTTTCACCAAGAAGAATTATTCTTGGTAAGCTCACAAGCCTCTGAGCTTTGCATAAGTACGCACACCTTTAGTTGTTCAGTCTTTTAGAAGCTAACGTTTGGTTTCTAACTCTATATTTGCATTTAGAAACTCCTTTTGTGGCATAGAGGATGGAACCCAGGGCCTCATGAGTGCTGGGCAAGTGCTCTAGTGCTGAGCTACATTCCCAGGCCTTTTTATTTTATTTTGAGTCTTCTAAATTGCCCAAAGTGGGCTCTCACTTGTAATCCTCCTGCCTTAGCTTCCTGACTAGCTGTATTTGCACTGTTAATAGAATAATACCTTATCAGTTAACCTAGGTCTAGTCACCTGTCTCCCTGATGTAAGGTGGAATGGATGTATGTGCACATGCATGTGTACATGTGTGCATGTATGCACGCATGCACACACATGTGTATGTGAGCACATGTATGTGTGTGCACGTGTGTACATGTGCATGTGTGTGCATGCTGTGTATGTACATGTGTGTGTATGTGCCTATGTGTGTGTGCGCATGTGTGGAAGGGGTAGACAGAAGGAGCCTCATAAACCGGAGAGTGACATTGCTCTCAGAGGCCTGGGGGCTGGGGGACAGAATCCACCGACCTGGCCTGAAGGACAAGCACACCGATTTCCATCCTCTGCTACACTCAACCCTCTGCTGTGTTCATGTCATCCCTCACCAGGTGCCTCCAGAGGGGAGGGAGGTGTTGGGATCTTAATGGGTGGCAGTGTTCTCACTATTAGATAGATCATCTTCCAAAGTTTCTTAACCAACAAACTGATGGCAGAGACACTGAGGTCTTCCAGAGGGGTGGTGGTCTGGTTGACAGCAGTGAGCCAAGCCCTGCCCTCCTTCGGTGTCTCGGGAGGGGACAGATTTCACAGTTCATGGGAGACACAAGCTGGAAACTATCCACCAATTTGTTTTGCCAAAATTTTGCCATTGCGTTCACCCATTAAGCCTGCATTGACAATTCCCGACTTTGGTCCTCCTGGCTCCACAACAAGCTGTATTTCTCAGGAGAATGAAAGAACTTCTGGGTGTTTGACAAATGAGATGACTTACCAGCCCTTTGGGCAAGAGGCAGCATAGATGTCCAATTCCTCTCATATACATCCTTGTTGACTAGCATCACACACCCCAGCATTTGTTGGAGAAAAATATAAATTAAAGTTAGAGTTGAGATTTTTTTTGATAACAAAGAGAGTGCTATAATACACTCTCAGGGTCTGAACACTGATTTTGTTAAGGATAAATGTAGGTACTTGTGAGACTAAACTATGAGTGATAAGAACCAGACAGGCAGAGGAAAACTCATCTTTATGCAGCTGTTTCGTTTCATGTATTTCTCACTTATCCAGTCCTCTAAATATTTTTGCTTAGTATTGCAGGGTGGGTTTGAGGGGGGGAAACACCTTAGTTTAACAGATATTAGTGGAATCTCTATTATGTGTGCCCATAGGCACCTTGTAAACCTACACTGTGACATGTATTATTTTAGCCAACATGATTCTCATGGGTGAGGCTATTAGTATCTTAAACATGGATATTCTATTTCCCTACATATTTTTTCTTTTGCCTATGTATTTTTTCTAAGTTTCTTCAAAAGCAATTCTTGGTTCTAATTGAATTATCCAATGGAGATATATAGTAGAATATAAAATTCAATTACTAAATTGCAATTAATAGCTCTTTAAAAATCATTCGCTTAATATTGCTACGAAGAAGCAAGTCACAAAACATTAACACATTTTACTTGTAAACTCACTCTGAACAAGACCACATGGATCAGACAGAAAGGGTTTTGAAATTTTAGTGTCCACAGAGCTACCCAAGCAGCCTTATCTGTGCTTTTGTGTCAAGGTTCTTTAAAAACAGTAAGGTGAAAATATGTTTAGTGTAACATTAAATCTAAAACACACGATATATAATGTGTATAAAGCATGATTTTAATAACTGAAACACATGCAGAGAAACAGAGTGAGAGATACACTTGCTACTTTACTTTCCCTATGGGTGGCAGGACATATTATCATTTTTCTTATCTTTGAAATGTTCAGCAATGATTGTATGTTTTGATAGTTTGAAATGTGCTGAGCTATATTTTCTGTGTTATAAAAGGAAAACAAAGAAGAACTTGTCAAGAAAGGGCTGAGTGATGTGTATGAATTTCAATTTTCTTTTTTAACCTGGAACAGAGAGAATGCAGGTCTTGCTTTATTTTGCCCACAAATCTATGATGAGATGAAATGTGATTATTTTATGTGAGCTCTTTAGAATATGAACTGTCTAGTCTCTGATGTTATAGATCAAC